GCTGAAAGACGTGCGGCAGTGCCTGCAAATAACGTCGGCTTCACATAAGTCAATTGAAAGGCAATACTTTCTAACAAACTAATCAAACCACCAACTAGATGATGGCTGCTCTTGATGTTGCACCCGAGAGGGGTTAAGCTGGGATCAAACCACAACGATTTGTTGCAGTCAGTGCCAAATCGGTAAAGTCCAAATCCAAAATGCTTTCTTCTGATCGGAGAAGAATCACGCAGCACAACAGAACAGCCTCTCACACACAACGCTAAATATGAGGTACTAGCAGGAATGTTTGCATAGCTTCAACTTCTTCCACCTCCGACTCCATTCAGACAGGGTTAGATAAGATGTCAGCGGATAAACTGGTCAGTAAAACAATGCAGTCAGGATTGATGCTTATTCGCACCGATGTCTGTTACGTCCACCGACAGCACAGACCTCGATGAGATGCTATTTGCATTGAGGTGATGAGAGGAAGCACTACAATTACATCCTAACGACATTTTCACCCCAAATTAGGGGACTACTCGATGCCAGTGGGTGTGCCCGAAATGCCGCAACGGACAACAAGGGGTAAGGAAGAGGATTCGTTAATGACCCGCCTTCGCCAAGCACACCATGTAGCCAATCATTTGTCCTCCCGTCAATGGCAGCAGCAGAAGTATGTGCGAGAATAGTTCAAGTTAATTGCATGAAACAACATTCAACCACTGTATCACAAACTGCCGAACAAGGGTTAAAGTAAAAATGCCACACTCGTGATGTCAATTACCAGACACGGCCAAGATTCCACAAATGTAACGATGGCATTGTTGCCAACAATGTTTAGTAACGCATTCCCTGCACGGCATCGAAGAAGATGTGGATCCTGATGTTGTCTGGACACCGGCCTACTACGGAGATGTCGAGGATTTTGATGCGAAGGAGGAGGAGGTGGACGCCAACCACAATTGGCTCATCTTCTCCACCAGAGACGCACATCTCCTCCTGAAGAAGGGTCCACACGGAGACTCCTACCCTATCACCGGTCGCTATGACGCCCACATTGATGGCCGCGTCGTCACAGGAAAGTTGCTCTCCGAACTGATAAGGAGTGTACATAAGGTAAGACCGTGAGTGAGGTGGCGGATCAATGTTACTTGACTTGCACTAGGAGGGTGAGGAGACCGAAGCAAAGCAACGCAATCGCGTCTCTCTCGTCTACTACAAGGACCTGCAGCATTATGCGGGCCGCGCAGAAATGAAGGCGCTTGGGAGGGAGGACACCACCACAATCGTTAAGAAGGGTGAATTCGGTGGCATTGCGGTGACATCGTATCCCAACGAGGTGAGCGATGGTGGACACACGAGCTGCACCAAAACCATCAGTGTTACATCATTAGGAGGCCTTGATGTCGGTCTGTTGATATCTGCAGATGACGCAGTGCTTATCGTGGTCAGTGTGAATGTGGTCCTCGACACGTCCAGTAGTACGGGC